AATAATACCGCCTCAAGAGTACTTTGCGGTTGATGTATATAATTCGATGAAGCCTACATCGGCAAAATTCATCTGCAAATTTAACAAGATAAACTTCAGGCTAATATTTTTAAATTGTATCTCACAAATTTTTCCAAACCAGCTTTAAGGAAACGGATGCTTGAAATTTAGAGCGCTTGTGCTATGAAGTATTACCAATACAGTAAGTAGTTAATGTTACTACTTATCGATAAAAAACCAGAGGGTTTTACTCATGGACTAAGAAGTGGGTAAAGTAAATTGAGTAATTTAGGGAGCGGTGGGGTGGGGTGGCCGGGGGGGGGGGTAGAGGAATCAATAACGAAGCATTGAAGCTCGGGCAACGACAGTCTCAATTCTGGAGATACTGCATTCAAAGTAATTTCTATAAATTACGGTTAATTCTTTTTACTTCAATTTCAGAATTTCACTTTACTACTCCCTAGTTCATGATTAAAGTGGGGTGTGTGATTGACTTACTTCCATGTGGTGCATCCTTGCAATGTATACTCATACGGTAAAAAGTCTACAAACCGGCAGTTGATTTCTAACTTTAAACTACAATGACCCCATTCTATGCCATATTCAATCACTTCCATAGTACTCACCTTACCATTTTCTCTACCATTGTTTTTGTCTCTTTTACATCCTGTGACTATGTCCGTTCCTCCCTTCTGTGAAGTCCGAACTCAACTTAGAGACCAATGATAAGCGAGATTTATTTGTATCAAATGGCAGGCTTTATGACAGTTATCATTCGCCCTTTAGTTGACTTCTGGCTTCATAGAGGAGCGGAACACCAAATTCACAAAAAGTGGAGAGTGGGATCAGAAGAGTGACTCAAAGATGTAAAAGTGACAGACACAAATGTAGAACAGAAGGTTAGATGAGTACTGTGGAAGTGGCGAAAATGACATTGAGTGAGGTCATGGTAATTTGAAGTGCGAAGTCAACTGTCGGTTTGTAGATTTTTGCCGTGTGAACACAGGTTACCCCATGATAACTATCATAAAACCTGCCATTTGATATAAATTAGCTCATGACCAAAGTTACATTCATATTCGTTTGTCAACTGATCGATTCAATTCAGCTGTTGGTTAAGTCAAATCGATTTATGGGCAACTCATCCGCAAACACCTTAGTAGATAACGCCAATTTACCATAACAAACCACGAGTGAGCTCCCGTATGTTGAACTATAATACCATGAATAACAAGAATATAAGTTTAAACAAGTTTTAAATCGGCATGACTGACAACAAGTATGCATATACTAGTTTCAACCGAAGAATCATTAATGCTATTAACTTTTCGATTTTTTAATGCAATAACTATAATGCCAATCTCAATATACGTGGCATACAATATTATTGAATCTAATAATAAAATCTGCGTAATATAGACGGGAACAGCATTTAATGAATATGAGGATGACTTTCAGGAAGTTGGATACTAAGCAAGGTCCTTTTGAAATATTTTGGTGACAAGTACTCCGTACTAAAAATTGCATTTGTGGTTAAAAGGAAATTAGTTGTAACCAATGGGAAAGGTAATTGAAAATGTTAAAGACAAATTAAAAACAAATTAGAGATATCGAATATTTCAGAATATGCGAAGCAGAAAATTAAAGTATCGTTATTCGAAATGCACACTGCTCCTCGGTTGACTTAATATTTCCATTCATCCCTCGTCGATCATCCAGTTGAGCGTGCCCTTAGAGTTCCTTCTGAATCAAACAACATAGCTTGACCGGGATCGAATTTAAATTGCTTGAGTGGAATATTGAAATTGATGGAACAGCGAAAGTGTGTCTAATAATATAGTATGACCATGCAGAGTTAGATTTCGCCATTTTAGAGAATTAATCAATTATTCTTTGACTTCTACTGAAATGTAGTTAGTAGAATGGTTAAAATATTCAATAAACGTCGTGGTACCAGAATGCTCGTATGAAGCTACATAAACACCGTTTTCTTATTAAGATAGTGAAATATGCTAAAAGTTCTGAAACAAAGCTGTCGCCTGAAGTGATATCTATTAGTACTTAAGATTTGGTAGGCAGTTACAAATCAGAAAATTAAATTTTTGAAGGAAGAACAAACTTTAGTTGATAGCCAAAAAGGTGGGGGTGGATTGGAGCAGTGGTGGAATACGAAATGGGGGAGAATGAAGCTGTGTTTTCCAGTTCCCTGTTGACTCGACCATAAAAGCCTCATAGTCGGACAGATAAGACAGTGGTGATGCATAAATTAACCGGTGAGTTGTAACATTTGCGAGGTCTTAGCAATTGCGTTCTTTGAATACTGTGTCCACTTTGACCGATCCTCCAATACGTAGCTGAATTTTTGCAGATGTCATAAGCGCTTCATTTTTAGCTTCATAATAAGCTCCAATGCTGGGACATTATAATATTTTGAATTTTGAAGTTGGGGAGAACTAGCAGTTGGTTGAAATGTTACTCTTGTGGGAGAGTTCAGTAGTTTACTCAAGTAACTGTAGGAGCCAATAAAATTTCATTTTCCAGCTATATAACTCGCGGTAGATGGGATTTTCAAAGTTTACAAGTCGCATAGATTTAACCAATAGGTAAAACGCTGCAATATATTTTCTTTCAGCTCATTTTGATTGAAGTTAGCCGAAATATCTATTGTAAGTGGACTTAAAATAGATTATTTACCTATTGAGCCTATTAACACTCGTCTTTCTGAGGTGCGCTCGTTCACAGGGCTTAATTAAAGGGTACATACAGTCTTAAATTACATGTTGTTATCTTGAAAACTATACCAATTTATGTCACTTTTTTCTTAGTTATCCTCACATGCATAACTGTGTTTTTTGTTTTCGCTAACAAGAAGCTCCAACAGGACAGTTAAGGACCCCTTTTAGAACAAAACACCACATTAATGGAAGTAATGCCTTATATATATCAGATGAGAATTGCCAACTGACTGAGCGTTGGCTGAATGTCTGAATAAATAATTTATACAACACAGAAGTGGATTGAATGAGGAGGGAGGGGGCGGAGGGGGGGGGAAGTTAGGAAGGGAGTAGTAATGGTACGAAAATGATGTCAATTTTACGGAATCAAATGAAGGAAAATCCGTTTTTTTCATGAGCCAGCACTTGCGAGAAGGTTATAGAGGTGCTCGTCATTGATGCAGCCACGAATAAACTCCTCCTTGGATAAAACGTGGTCGGAATTGAGATCCATTTTCTTGAAAATAGCATGGGTTCTCACTTCAGAACTGTTTTCAGGACTTGGATTTGTCTCACCAACCATAAGGTAGATAGACTAGTAAAGTTCAAAAACATAAGAGAAAATTTAATTGATTGAATTGGATAGCCGATTTGTGTCATCTACTTTTGGTGCTTTAAGACCACGTTTGCAATGAAAAAATAAATAAGCGATTATCTGAAAAATGAATTTAATACTAAGTAATAAGCATGTAGGCGTCAAGAATAATAAAATTTGTGATGGTCTTGACTCTAATTCTCTTAATTTCCTATGTTCACTTATTTTATATCATATTTTATTGATATGGTTAGTATTTGAGATTTGTTCAAGTAAAACTTAAATCGATATTTGAAATTGCTGATGAGGATCATGACAGAATTTTCTAAAAGCTAAGTTAAATTCGATGGATAGACTGGTTTTCAATGAAGAATTTCGCGTTTCTGGTGTCGAAATATGAATATATTAGTATTTATGCAAATTCAGCTAAATATCAGTCGACCTTAGTTGATCCTCATTTCAAATCCCGTTCCGTTTTTATTGAAATTCCCGTCTCACGTCGGTATGGGTAAAATGTGACTATTGCATAGGAAATTGATTGATAAAATGATAAATGAGGTCGGTTTTACTCAGATTCAAGGATATTTTAATCCCTTAACTTAATTCAATTTTGCTTAAGTCTGCTTTTGTTCTCATTATTTTCAGCAAAAGAAGATATTTGTTTTAATGCATTCCATCAGCTATAGATTTGGTTGAAAAAAACAAAAAATCAATATTTTCCCTAGTAGTTCTCGTTAATTGTTCAAATATTATCACGCTCGATGATCTACCCGCACTTGGTTCTACCCAAATTCTGGATATACTTGACGCTTTAAGAGGCAGAGACTGAAAATGAATTTAATTAGTGAATAAAATTTGCAATAAGATATGGAACTCATGGGAGTATATAGGATTGTCAAAAGATAACAGTAGGTATTTGCTTGCATAACAAAGGCTTGAAATGAATGTCAAGCAATAATTTTTTCAATGACTGAACTCCACTGGAAATTAATGTCTAAGCACCAGCTGCAAGACGTGCGGTTTGGGGAGAAGTGGGATGTTGTTGCAGGGAATTATGCGTATTTAAAAAGAGGATCAAATAACTACGGAGTCTGCTCGTCGGAATGCAGATGTTTTCCATAACCGACATATGCTGCAGGGTAATAGTTTGTGTTCAGATGAAAGGGGGATATCAAAAAAAGTGATCTCTTAATGACTGAAAATAACACGACCATTGCTCACTAATATTAAATTAAACATTCCATTTAGGAGGACATTTTAACGCTTGATTCTGAAACTCGTTTTCCTCACATGAATTCATTCATATCGTTTTCCCATTTTCTCCAACTTTATTTGATATACAATTTTCGGGTGCATTTTAGTGGAAAGTAAAAAAAGTACAATTTTGCCCATTATGACAAATAAGCAGAATCAGTAAAAATAATATAACTTCTAAAAGGTCATTAAATTATAGCCTCAGCAAACTTTGATGATATTAAATTAAATTAATTTATAGTCAAATAAATTTGACTAATAATACTAATTAAAACAGATTTAAATTTATTGATTACTATCTTAAGGTGTAGTTTTATTCTTTAGATTAATAAATCTGAGTTTTCTGAGGATAAATTTCCAACCATTTCTCTGAGGCCAAAATGTCAAACTTGAGGTCACATCAGTGGTCACTTTCTTGGTGCTCAAAAGTGCTCGAGAAATTTGTGTAATCGAAAGGGTGCATTTTGAAGACTGATTTAGTAACTTATTGTTATAACCTCATTTCGCCATCAAAATTGTCACTGTCCCCGGGGCTAAAAAGCGCTAAGTGCCTAAAAGCGAATATTTTAAAATAAGTAATGCAAATTTAAAGAAAATATTTGTAAATGGAGGAATTTATATTGTAAACCAAGTTTAAATAAATTAAATCCAGTATCTTCCTTCTAAATTTAATTATCAATAAGCTTGAGCGCAGGATCCAAATTGAATTATCTTAGATATCTCAAAAGTACCCGGAAAATAACAGGAGAGATGAAAGCACTGGGTCTCCAAGCTATCGGGATTGGAAGGAGGTCACATGTATGCAGATAGATATTTGCTGGATGTGTTCGAGAAATACAGATGCTTTGCAGAAAACAGGGAGATTTGAGATAGGTACCCAGATTTGGACATAAGCGTGAGGAGATATTAGGCCCCCAACTTGTAAAGAATCAAGAATCTTCTCCACTATCCCCTCCACTTTTGAGACAAGATGATGTCTTTCCACACTGACAGCACGATCCTCAACATGACCAAGAGATTTTGTAGGACAGATTTTCAATTATTATTTCCATGTATCTTCCATCAAAACCTACCATTTATGAGGGCAGTCGAGCACTGCTTTCTCTCAAATGGGATTACACTGAACGAAACACTTTGAAAAATCGACCTAGAAGGAGGATTTGGGAGTATTTGGAGAGTTAAAGCATAGCAACCCACTATCCATATGCCCCTATTAACGTCATATTTGACTCGAGAGGTGATGAAGGTAGTAGTATGTTGGTACTGATTGTTGTACGGGGATCGATTTTTAGGGGCGAAAGATTTCAGAGTGCGTGAAATACCTTACCTTGTACTACATTTGAGTAGTGGATAGAAATTCATGCCATCATCGGTCGTCTGAACTAGAGCTGTGGTAGGAAGTGTCCTAAAAGAGACTGGTACAACCAGAGGTTGATTGGCATTTTGAAGTGAGTTTAGAGAGGGATAGAGGTAGAAGATGTGTCGGAAACATCAGGAGACATTTTGGTCTCCATTCTTTACTGATGTAGTCTTTATTTCTATTGATAAACTTGCGGATGGTTTGCAAAACAACCTATAAAGTCCGCTATTTATTGGGAAATGGGGGGGGGGACATCTTTCAATTCCAACTTGTAAATTCATCAAAGATGATGAATAGTCAGTGCTTGACAAACGAGTCGGATGAATGCCGTACAGAAAAGCTTGATTCCTTCGTATTTTTAATATATATATATACTTTTAAGGGGTGGGGTGTGCGATAGACTTACCTCCACGTGGTGCACCCTGGGCAACGTATACTCATACGGCAAAAAAGTCTATTAACCGGCAGTTGACTTCTCACTTCAAACTACCATGGCCTGACTGCTTGTCATATTCGACCCCTTTCACAGTACGCATCTTACCTTATTCTCTACCTTTGTGTCTGTCTGCCTCTTTTACATCTGTGAATCGCTCTTCTGATCCCCACCCCTCGACTTTCTGCTACTTTGATGAACCTTCCTTCTGTGAAGCCCGAAGTCAGCTAAATGGCTAATGATAGCTATCATAACGCCTGC